CACACACACACACTTGTATGTCTCACTGTAAATGGTGATGGTCAGTAATTACACAATATTTCCAGTCAGTGGACGCAACCAACCTACTTACTGACAAATCCATCGAAGCCTAAAGACAGCTTTCACCATCAACAGCTACTGTCTCCTCCTGAGACCTGAGCTGTTGTCTGCTAAGCATTTTTATTTTCTCCTAGCTATTTGGGCTAAGTAGGACCTGATAACTTTAAAAAACACAGTGTGTTATCCAGCTGTTCAATCACAGTGTAGGAGGGGCGGGACAAATACCACAAACACCAAGTGTTACATCACTGAATAACAACAACGCTGAAAGAGAAATTCATACTGAACCCACACAGACTGAGGGGTTCGTCCTCTCTCCCTACGTGCTTCAGCTGTCCCCTTCATCCAGAGCAAGTACTTTGGGACGGCATTTTTACTTCTGACGATATTCTGTGTCATGGCAACCAGACGCAACCAAAGTGTCTCAGCTGAAAAAACGCTGCACCTTTTTTGCATCTCACTGCCCTTCTGTGCTCTGCATTTAACAATTAACAAGAATTTAATTTCTTTCAAAACTGTCATATTTGTTATTTAGAAAGCAACAACATACCTAATAACTAAAATCAGGATAAACCGAGTAAAAGATGGCGGTCAAACTACACATTGCACTCTTAATCCCCACAGAGTTAATTCCTTCACCCAGACAGCGCTAGTACCAGACGATCTTCCTCAACGGATGAAGTTTGCCAAGCTGCATTGTGATTATCAATGTTTAGATTTCGATTTTTTTTATCAGCACTTAAAGAACTTCATGTACTTTTTCCGAGGTCAAAAATGCACTTTAACTCTCAGCGTTTAAGCCAACATGAAGGTGAAGTCTTTAAAGTGATCAGAACATCGAAAATCCCATGAGAAATGTCAAGACTTCATCTGCGGAGGCTCCAGAGCAGCTGCTAATGGAGCTTGTGGTGAGATTATTTTACCGCTGTTTCCAAGATCAAGAATTTAACTTTTAATCTCAATGGGAAATGTTTTCTTAAAGTAAACTATGAGTTGTGTAATGGGCTATCATAACTGTTTTAGGTTAAATTTGACAAAATCAAACTCACTATTTTCAAGTCCTGGCCACCAGCTGAACTATATTTATGCATATGAACATTTACAGGTACAAACAGCAGTGAAGTGTGTGTGTGTGTGTGTGTGTTGGAAAGGGCCGGAAGCAGCAACTCAGGAGTTCTTGCAGTAAAAAACAAGGGCTACTATCATTAGTTTTAATGGATATCTACAGTACGAGTACCAGTGTCATGAGAGAGAGGTTATCAGAGGCAGGATGTGATTTGGATTTCAAGAGGTGGAGCACTGCTCTCAGCTGGCTGTGATCCAATTTCACCCCCCGGCTATAAGGATGTTACTGTTTTTATACTAAATGCTGTCCTGGCTACAGAATAGAAGCCAACTGTGGGGATCATTTGAGATCAGTTCACGATGCTGTAATGTTAATCAGTCGGTAGCAAGATGTCACCGCGCTGGTTTGTTTATGGATCTCAGTTAATTATGCAGAGTGGTGCTGTGGGCTGCTATAAAACTGCTCCGCCTAAACAACAGCTGCTGTATTTAGGGTGGCTGTGACGCTGACTCTGACTAGTTTTTTTTATATATGGTCAAACAGTTGCTCTGTGGTATTGGGTGTAATTGCAGTTGGGTTGGGAGGGAATGTAAAGTGTTTTAGAGGAAGTGCAGGAATGCAGCACATTATCATGGGACATAATCATGCAGTCATTTCTTTAGGGCACGGACAGGGTGAGGAGTAGGAGTGGAGGAATAGCTGGAACATGCAGACGAAGGAACCGGGGATACTCTGACAGGAGTTGCTGAGTCTAGTTTTTCTTGATGAAGCACTGCTATTATCCCCCCTCCAGTAAAAAAGGTGATTATATATTTGGACGGTCCTTTAAATTCCTCTGGAGGTGTCCTTCCTCCCGGGCCCTCCTGCTGCCCTGTAAACTCACATTCCGACCGCTGAAATAATTCTACTAGCGTCAATAAACTGAGCTGACTTCATGCAGCATCTTCACCTGATTTTTGTTGACTTATCTCTTGACCTATCTCTCTTGTATATTTTTTTCTGTCCTGTGTGTGTCTGTGTGTGTGTTATGTGTGAGTGTCTGGACCAGCTGTTAAGGAGCAGAGGAGTGTGTACAGGCAGAGAGCCAGGACAAAGTACTCACAAGTATCAATGCTACAAAGTAAAAACACTCCATGACAAGTAAAGGTCATGCACTCAAAATCCTACTTAAAGGAAACTTCACCCCCAAATGATCTTTTCTATATCAGTTACTCATCTCATGTTACCTTTAATTTGTGAGGAAAACTTAATTTATCTCACATGCCTCCACGGTGAACAACAAATCAAAAAACAAAGAAAATGCTTAATGAATTGAAGTCATTGGGGGCCACGTTTAACAACACCAAACATATATCAAAACATTTGTTTACAAACTGTCACACAACTCCTGCAGTCTGATCCAAGTCTCATTTATCCAGTCGTATGCTCAGTGCTTCCTAAACAAGTGCATTTTCGGAAAAAACAACTATCTCAAAAACTTCTACATAAATAGTTTCACACACAGATGAGTAGCACACCTGCTCTGTTAATGCAGAAGGGTTTTGAACAATAACATGTTACTACAGTTATAAACAGTTATAGGTTACTTGAATTCATCAAGTGTGTTTGCTTTATTGGATTTTTTTGTTCACCTTGGAGACATGAAATTAACACAGAGCTTCCTTTGCAAATTCAAAGTAACAGGGCAGGGCTGCTGTGTATATAATAAAATTCAGTTTTTAACACTGATTCAACAATAGGCATATTAAGACTGGATTAACCTTTACATTGTTCCAGGAACCTCCCTTTCCTTGTGTCACAGCACAATAAAATAGTAACGATCATTGTTCTCAAAAAGGCCATTCTGAGGGACTTGTGCATACTTGCAGATACAAAGAGTATACAAGAGTATTGTAGTTTACAGCATGACTTAAAACCTTTCCTCATTTTTCTTATTCAAACAGTGTAAATCTATTAATTTGTAAGCGAAGTGAGAGGGTAATTTTTTCCATTATGTGTATTTCATTTACTATATCTGTATATTAGCAGTGTGAATGCAAAAAGAAAAAAAGCCCTTGACGGTATGTCGTTTTTCTGTGGCCTCCCCAGAACTGCTTGGTCCAAAATTCCCCTAGTTTAGGAAAGAATTTTAAAAGAAGTTGTGTTTCACAAATTTGTTCTGTTTTTTTCTCCAAATAATTTATGATTTTTACATGTTTTGTGAAATGTGCATTTTTCCCTCTTTGCTTTGGGCTCCAAACAGTAATTTAACTTAAAATATAACTATACCAGTTAAATAAATGCCGTGGGGTAAAAAGGTGGCAGGGAGGCGGCCATCTTTACCTTGGATACGAAGCACTCTGCGATGGCCACGGGGTCGGCGTTGCACTTCTCAAGATCATGAAGAAGATCCCTGAAACACACACAGAGCTCAAAGACATCAGTATTTGACCGTACAACCATAATTTCCTGCGTCTTCACACATTAACTACTCTCCCACGGCTCATTGTTCCCAACGGTTTGTCAGGAGCAAGAGTCACCCTGGGCACAGAAATGAGGTCTAAGGCCACTATAGGCTCTGAACAAATGAGAAACTTCCATGAATTCAAACAGGGCAGCTCCTGTGTGTAGCTGTGTATGTGTAAGAGCACACTGTGGAAAAAAATAAAAACTGTTGGGAGTTATTGTTTCATGGCTGAAGCATGAGGTCATCGTGACCGCTTTAAACTGCTTTTATGCTTCCTTTTACTGGCCAGTCTGTCTGCGCGTGACAGCTGAGAAATGAATAGGTGTGGGGAAAGAGTGTGCACGTTTGTGTCTTCAGACCACCAGGGCTGATGCTCGACCGGCCACCTCGTCTGAATACGCAACTCGCAGACACACACACGGTTTAGAATGGTGCCGGAGGAGACAAATATGCAGACGTGGACTTATGACACACAAACACACACCTGACTGCAACAACAACGCCCTTCCCTGAAATCAACAGGTGCTCAGCCCAGTTTCGCCACGGGCAGCACATTGTTTGTTGATCCTGGGAGAGACAAGCGTCTGTGTGTGTTTTTAGCCTCCAGTCGTCATCAGCAAACTGAAAGTCAAGATCAATGTTTTTCACTAAACACGTCAGAGTTCTGAACATTTACTGACTCACTTTCACGCAGCTGTGACACTTTATATGAAGACGACTAGTAATGAAATATTGAAGTAAAGTCTATCTGTTAATATATTGTTTATTTTTTAGTTTCAATTAAAGTCTTTGGGGAGTGGAGTCGAGACTAAAATGTCAAAGCACAGTATTTTAACCCTCACTTTCCCAGCGTGACAATCACACCCATATCTTGAGTTATTCTCTGATGATGACGCTTGCAAGTCGTAAACACAGGAATCTTTCCCGACTCTCCCACCCAGTTAATATGATGTGAACGCAGCATTAGGTCTGAGTCTCCAGCTCTTTGTGTGCTGTACCTGTTAAAGTGGTAGATGTCCTGGATGTTGCCAAACAGGGAGCCTTTATCCTCAGAGCTCAGGGCCAGCCGAGACTGGTTACTGATGCACTCCAAGTAGTCCTGTAGAGAGAAAACAGTCATGTTAGAGCATTCTGACTGGCACCAGTCTTGGCATACACTCACAAACACACTTGATTTGACAGGCAACTCAAACTGTGACTCCTACAGACTTCACCTCACCAGCTTTCAAAGCCCACGACTCTCTCAGGACACTTGACTCTACTTTGCACCACTTTGGCCGGACAGCCTCATGACAAAGACACTCTGTGAGGTATGTGTGTGTTAATGTGTGAATACTTTCATTTAAGTCTGATTTAGGGCTTTTAGAAGAGAACCTGGACCATATTTTTCCATGATTTGGTGTCTAAATGACTGAGTCCGGAATAAAATAAGTTACCCTTGTAATGTCATTATTGTATGTGTATAAGATACAGTCTTGAGGCTTAACCTTCCAGCTGAAAGATACACAGCTGTTATTATGTTGTGGTTGCACAGAAAAAACAATGCATCTTTCATCAGAGCCTGTATGCCTACTCTGCATTGTTTGGGGTTGCGTTACCCAGCAATGTACAGAAGCAGTTTCTATAGAGATAAAAACTAAACACTGTTATTATATATGATTTCAGTTTCAGTTAGATTTAAGTGGGAGAGACAAAACTAAAATTCTAAATATGCATTGGAAAACAAAGCCAGCTGTACTGTAGATAACACAGCCCATTAGTGTAACACACTGTGTGACCCCTGATATTGTTGTTTAGTGTAAACAGCTTGATAAGGAAACAACACAGGTCATCAGATTTAGTGTCAATGAATGCCAGAGTCAGACGACCGCCTCGAGACGGCAGGTTTAACGCGGCCCCTTGTTGAAAACAGGTATCAGTGTATTCAGGAGGATTTCACTCTGTGGCTCTTATCGCTGCCTCCATCACTGCCGTTAGTGAGGAGTGCTGATTAAACACCAGCCTCAGGTCTCAGTCCGCCCCGCAGCAAGAAAGTGAGAGGTGGAGAGAGACAAACCAGTAGCTCTAAACCTTTTTACTCTTGTTTGCGAGCTTTCTGCAATACTGATAGTCTTTGTGAGAAAATTATGTTTACTGCTGCAGGCTGGAAGTGTTTTCGTTACATTTCATTCCTTCCAAGTTACTATTTTTGTATTTTCTATTCGTTTTTATTTTGTTTTTGGCTTTGTTTTAATCTCAATTTAGTTTTTATTGTTCAAAAATGTTTAGTTTTAGTTCAATATTTATTGGTGTCAGTTTTTTTTGTTTTTTTACAATAATACGGGGGCTACTTGTCTGGGGCAAAATTTAACAAGTTCAAAACAGATATTACAAGACAAACACAACAGTTTGTGAAGGCACTTGACTCACACTCATGCAGACACCACAGTCTCAAAAAATATACAGTAGAATGAGACGTTTATATCTACATCCATGGAGTCCGCCATGTTTCTACAGTGGCCCAGAATGGACAAACCAAACACTGGCTCCAGATAGAGCCATTTGCCTCTCTGCGTTGGTAGCACAGATTTTGTAACATGAAACTGCGTTTTTTCGGGGTTTACACCAGTTAAAATTACCGGTTCTGTTGGTTTTGGAAGGGAAGAGACCCCTGCAGATAATTTGGCTCATGAAAAAAATCTCCTGAATGCCTGGATTGGAAATTATCAGACAAATAGATGAGCACACATTAGCAGGTGCTGGGCAAGTGGGTCGTTTGCAATGTGCCAAACAGCATAGGAGATACACTGATTAGTAAAATGAAACTACTTTATGCTGTGTTTTTACCGGTTTTAATCACCTGGTCTGTTTGTTTTGGAGAGGACGGGACCTCTGAGGATAATTTGGCTCCAGTTAAAACCTCCTGAACAATAAACACTGAAGGAATCCTGAGCAGGAGAAGTTTCAGCTGGTTACAATCTGCAACCCTTAATGCTAGATGCCACTAAATCCTACACACTGCTCCTTTAACTAAAATGTTTTTCACATCTAGTTCTTTGATATGTTTTAGTTAGGTGCAGTTTTCTTGTCATGCGTTGTTTGCACTCCATACCATGTCATCACGGTCTCAAGCCAATAAATCCGACAACACAGATACGCAGGAAGAACACAGTGTTGCACACACATCCACAAAAATGATCCCAACCATCAATGCAGCTGTATTTGAACTCTAAACTAGGAGCAGGTGTGGATAAGGATGAAGGAGGAGGAAGCATGCAGCACAGTAGCAGTTTCAAACCCTGACCACAGTCTGCAGCGCGGCAGGACAGACATTACAACACTGAGAAAAGTGCCAGGCTGCCCTGAACGCACACCCACACTGATCATTTCAGCACACACAACACTTGTGTGTTTTTAGAAGACCAAAGCAGAGAGGGCGACAGACTCTCCCTGCTTCCAGTCTGCTGCAGTGGCTTCTGTTCCTGGTAATGTTTTATGTATTTAGCCATCATTATCATTATTACTATAATAGGTGAGCCTGAGCAGTCCATTAAAGTGTGTTTGGTTAGGCTAAGGGAGGGATGCAAAGACAAAATTATCTCAGCTAAAGGCTGGAGAGTTAATTCGGGAGTGAGTGACAGCCATCTTGGATGTTTTGGGTTTACGGCAACACAAGAACTTTAAGCCAGTAGTTTGGTTTTGAGGTTTTGAGTTGCAGAATAAGACTAACGGGCATGCTGCTGGTTGTGTTGAAGGGTCACGTCAAAGGGTCATGTTTGGATTTAGCTGACTATCACAGGTAAAGTGTAACACGATGCTTTATTAGCCAAGAGGTCACGGATCTGACCCGGCCTGACTCCTCACACTCAGCCAAAGCCTGAGTGAGCAACAATGGGCAGCGTTCACATCCACACACACACACCTTAAGCAACACTCCCTGCCGAGCATCAGACATAACATGTACAAACTTGATATTTTCTCGTGTTAACTATTAACCTCTGAAAGTACACACACTCTTTTCCTACACGCCAAACACATCCCTCACTCCGCACCGCTGTAGGAAGTCATTCCTCCACACAATGCCGAGTGTAAACATCCAAATCTCATTACTTTGAATGTTTCTGCGAGTCAAGTGATGTTCAAAGTTTATTTCCAAATTCCTGGTAAACTTTAAATGCCTTGGCAATGCGTTCCAGGTCTCAGAGCGAGACAGAGAGGAAGAGGAAACAGAGGGAGAGACAGATCAGAGCTTTGTCTTTGAGGTTGTTTATGGATGGCGGATTAGTCTCATTACACATACTGATCTAGAGTCAGAACTAATAAACACCCAAACAATGTTCACACACAGAAATATATGGTGGCCTGAGAGCTAAACACACTGCATCTTAAGGACAGAAATGCAAATAGACAAATCAAAACCAAATGAAGAAAACATCTTGTCCAAAACTCACAAACACTGCAAACACAACCAAATACAGAAACACTGCAAACACTGTTACAAAACAACAGATGTTTCCACTGGACATTCAGAATTTTTAGTGTGTCCTGGAAAATTTTCATCATGTTTCTGTGTGACTTGCAGCGTTTCTGTATTGTGTTGTTTTTCTGTGGGTTTTTTTTTCTGTTCTAAAAATATTTTATTTATTTGCTTGTCTTTTGTCTTTTTCTTACGTGTTGTGTGTGAGCAGACTTTGCAGGCTCTAATCTCTCGCTCCACACTCCAAAACACTGCTGTTAAGCCATGCCCAGCTGCCTCACCATGATGAAGTTAGTTTGAAGCTGGATATTTGACAGACATTCACTCCACGACCCAGCGGCATTGTTTAGTTTGACTTTCACCTGATGTCAGCAGTAGCAGGACAGTAAGCTCCGCCTGCAGTGCCCCCGTTTACTGCCAGGAGCTGAAATGGACGATCAACTGTACTATGAATAAAACCACATGTGCGTTCACATAACTGCAGCTCTCCGTGTACATTCAATGCGGAAAGTATGTCCAAGCCTTAAGAGCTGTCTGGGCACGGCTCTCAACATGGTGGTGACTGAGCCAGCAGCTAGCAGCTAATGTTGCTAACCCCATAAACTGCCCTACACAACAGCAACAGTGCTGACAGAGGTAACAGTGCTAACCTGGGGGGAACTGGAGAGTTGATGCTAAGCTTCTATGACGCCCTAAGCAATAACCAACGTATGAGCGCAGTGCAAAGTGGCATCATGAGCTAGGCAGTAGAATACACACATGCACAAACATACACGCGTGACTATATCTTTACATATCAAATAGTCGTGTCTATGTTAATGCTTTAAGTTGCAGTATATTGAGCTTTCAGGGCTGTTAATTCATGCAACAACAACAAGCGCTACTTACACACATACAGCTCACACTCCAACAGGCACAGTATGAGTGTGTGTGGACTGCAACACCACTGCTGACAGATGAAACACAGGTGAGCCCAGGGGAGTCTGGGTAAATATTTGTGTTAAGGCTGTCACACCCTCTTCCACTGCAGGAAGCAGCAGGGGCAGGGGGATTATCGAAACGGTGGTTGCTGGACTAACTCTGTATGGGCCGGTGCTGATAATAGACGGGTCGATGCTGTCCAGCAGCCTGAGCTTTTCTCTGCCGTGTTAAAAGCTCTATTCACACAGATACAATCAGTGCAATCCATCCTCCGTGCACTCATTGTGACTGTCATTAAAGGGGTGCAGACAGGCTAAACGCATGCATCTTTCTCCCAAAGTAGTGGTGAAGAATTAGCTGTCCTGCCATGTAAGTGTGGTCTTCTCAGGGCTGGGTGGTCTGCCTCTCTAATGGCTATAGGTGGTCTGCAGAGTGGAGGCAGCAGAGGGTTATTAAGTACAGCTCATAAGCTCTGTTCAGTGTTATCCTAACCTACTTTGGACATTGTTATCTCTGGGCTAAATCCCCACCTAACTTCCCCTCTCTGTCTCCCCCCTTTTTCCCTCACCTCTGCCTCATGAAGAGGGGAGGAAAGGAAGGAGGAGCAGGAGAGACATCAATCAGGGGTGACAGGTCAAAACCGCAAAAACTAACCCTCACTCTCTTTATTTATCCCGTCTCTTGGGAATATGCGTTTCCTGCTCTCGTTTGACAACAGCCATTCACTTATTGAACCTTTTTAACCACAACAAACACACACAAACACACACATACTGGCCCATGCACCCGCAGCCTAGAGTGGAGGAGGAAGCGCTGTTAAGGATAGGGAGGATATGGGAAAAGGTGGGCGAAGCTCCAGCACAGGCATGCTCATACACACATGCAAAATGCAACAACTCCAACACCTACGTTGTGTCATTTTACACCACAGTCAATCTGAATTAAGCTGCAGAATTCAAATGAAATCGCATCTGAGCGCAAACAACATGAACTTTAAGAATCAAAAAGAGCTGAGCAGAGCAACAAAGAGGAGGGGAAGAGAAAGGAGTGCAACCTTTGATACAAACCACTACACCCAACCCTTCACAAAGCCACTAAAGCACTGACTAGAGGCAATGTGTATTCTTGCAGTTCAAAGCCAACCTCACAAAAAGAGCGTATTTATCCGAGTGTGTGTGCATACAGTATTGTGTGTATTTGTGTGTGTTTAAAAAACGTCTGAAGTTTTCAATGTGTGCCTGTGCCTGCAGGACAAAGGCACCGGTGTCATGTAACTCGGCCAAACCCTGCCTGCCAGCGCAGGTGACCTTATTGTATTGGAGGGTTCCCAGCAGGCAACGAGCTGTGTGTGTCACGTGTGTGAGGAAAACCACAAAGACCTGAAGGATGTGTGTTATCTGGTGATTTAAAGCCCCGTATCGCTCCTGACGTTCCACTGCCTCGCGGGCCTAAACTGGGTCAGCAGGGAAATGCTTTAGGTCAAAGATGGAACCCTCAAAAGATTTAAAACTGTTTGCTCCGATTTCAGTTTCTGCCTCTATTTATTGAATCAGGGCAGCGGTTAAGTTTAAAGGGTTGAGAGATGATTCACTTAGGTACAGTCATAAATGATGATGTATTATTATAGATTAAACTATCCAGCAATATAGAAATTAAGTCAAATTAGTTCCACCTTTACCCACTGCAAGATGAAAGCGATGAACACATGAATGCATTAATAATCATTCTAATCCATTAATATAAACTGTATCATTCATATCATTCATTTACTTTAGGTACTTCAATTACATAATAATGCTAATACTTTTGAGCTTTTATTTCAGTGAAGATTTTAATGCAGACCTTTTACTTGTAACAGCATATCTGTACACTGTGCTATATCACTACCTTTAACTACGTAAAATGTGTGAGTACCTTTTGCACCAGTGTATTTCTGCTAAACAAAATTAAGTCGTTGTTTTTAGACTTTACTCTGTTTGCTTTTTCCTCTTTGAATGAATCATTTAAAGTCACAAAAACATCACAATGAACACAAATTTGTTTAAAGCCTGGGTAAAGCAAAGATAAATGTGTTCTGAGTTTGTCAAACCACAGAAAAATATCTTACTGACCACCAAGCCAGATTTAAGTGATTAAAAATATTGCCAAATATATAAAATTAGGTTTTAAAATTGTGAAAAACTAAACAGTATTCTCTGCTCTGAGACACTGTGGGCATGTCCACTATAGACGCTGAGCTGAAGATCAAGCTGCCACAGAGCAAAGACCTCTCATTCGGCAGCTAACGTGAGCGCAAAGAACACACTCAAAGCAATTAGAAGTAACTACCAGGCTGGGTATCCGATTCGGGCTATAGACTGAAAGGTATGTCCATGGCAGCTTTTACTTATGCTTGTATGATTGTGGCATTTAACAGAGATGTTTTTTCATGTATTTATTGGACTGAAAGAGCTAAGAGAGGTTGCTGAAGGTAGCAAATTCACGGAAATGGGGTAACAGGATGAATGAGATGACACTATACGTTCTTAAGTTTTAATATAGCACGGGAGGGGTTGTGATAGGACGGCTCCAGTGCGTCATCAACCCAAAATATCCATGACACAGAAATGGTGAAAAACTGTTTAACGATCTAACTCCACAAAGCAGCACTGTAGGTCACAGTCTTTTCACATGTTTTCTATAAGTATTTTGTAACATGTATAATTAGTTTAGAAAAAAATCTCTGATTTTACTTTCAATCTACATTTGATGACCTGCCAAATGTGCTAACACACCTTTGAATTTCTGCCAATATGTGAATCCTTCTGCTTCTAATTTCTCACACAGCTTGTGTTTAATTATATTATCGTGGTCGAGTGTTTCTTACCTCTACAATGCTGCGCAGATCCTGGACGTAGGTCCTCTCTGTGTCCATTATCTCCTGCACCACCCGGTCCACATACGTCCTTGGTCCTTGCACCTGACCCGTCCGCTCTCCTCCCTCTGGGCTCACCTCAGGCTCTGAATGTTCTGTCACAGTCTGTCCACTGTCCTGTCTCCCCTGTCCCCTCCCTGTGTCCATCCCTCCATCATTCCTATCATCTTCCTCCCCGCATCCCAGCTGCCGGGCCGGGACCAGTTCCAACCGGATTGCCCCGGAGTCCCGGTCTGAAGTCACAGGGTTACAGTGAGGGGTGGGGACGAGGGTTGAGCGGCTGCCCAGTGAGCAGTGACTGTCCCGCGAGGAGGCAGAAGAAGAGGTGGAGCTGTAGCTGATCGGCCTTTCGGCGCTATCCGGAGAGGAGTCCATGCTGAGGGCGGAGCAGTAGCGCGCGGAGGTGTGGCGGAAGGCCGGGTTGCGGAGGCAGCGGGAGGGAATGTCAGCGGAGCTCAGGGCCGAGCCAGAGTCCGGGACTTCGGGGAGTGGAGGCAATGCATCAGGTAGGTAGTTATAATCGTCTGGAGAGGGACATGAGAGAAAGGAAGAGATCAGTTATTAATCAGTTTTATTTCACGTTAGTAGTGTTCCAGTTTATGATTAATTTTTTGGGGGCTTTTTCAGACCAACAATTGCACACACTATCTTCCTCATTTATTTCCATGACACCCCTGGCTTGTGAGGCTGCAGACAGCTCCAACTAAACAGATTGTCATGACTCAAGTTGTCTTGCAGAGTAATGTCAAGCGCACTCGCCAAAATGATCCACAAATTAAGGAATGCCTTGATCTAATTTATTAGGTACTTTGCAAGCATTAAGATGACAGAGAAAATTATTGCTTGCTGAAATGACGAGACCCTTCCAACGTTGCTCAATCCAAGCTCAGTGTTGCATAAATCACTGTAATCTGTCTTGGTTTTTAATAAAGCTTCACACTGGACTTCCTGGTTTGTCTTTCCCCTTCTGTCTGTACAAACCTGTAGCAACATGCCTACACCACTGCAGCCCCTTCAGCTGTACTTCGTGGTATTGTTGGTCTGAATGTCCCCTAAACAATGACTCTGCCTGTTGCATTTTTAAATATATGGTTGTCATATTAATCACAATGCCTGTGTATAATTATTGAAAACAAATACAACCACGGTCTAGACAATTGGTGTGTCTAATACGTCTCAACAGAATGGCTGTCCTTGTTTTTCTAAATAAATAATTGCATACGCAACATACAATGCTGCTGACTTTCACAATGATGTTGCAACTTTCACATCTACCTTTGCAAGTTTTAGCTTTATTGAGACGAGGTGGACAGCGCCTTTGTACCTATTTCTCTTTTTCTTTGTGCTTTAAATCAAAGTGCATCCATCTCCAAGAACTTCTCAGACTTTACACCTTTGATCATTAGACCTTCAATTTGGATAAGAAAATATATATGGCTGGACTATGCATGACTGTTGGAGGCTACGCAGACATTGGCCACTATCGGAGCCAAGTTCCGATGATAACGATAGTTTGTAAAACATCTGATTAATCACCCAAACCAATTAACTGGTCATCCTCTTGACACAGGTTGTTACTAAGGTGACGGCACCTGTTGCAATGTCTTATTTCCACTTTCTCCTCATACTGGTGGCGGCACCTTATATTGAGTAATAAACTTTGAGGCTTGTGTCATACAGACATGGCTCTTCCTCAAACAAATTGATGAGGTGATCCTCTCTTTCCTCCATCTAAAACTACCATTTCGACCGCAGCCGGTTAGTTAGCTGGAGAGCTTTCTGATTCCACTATGCTTTTATTCTTAATGTTACAGTGGGTACAGAAAATGAGCCAAACAAAGGCGTCAGTCATCTGATGATAGCAATGTCATTTCCTCTGCTGTGACAAGAGTGTGTGGATGAAACATGACTAGCTGACTACCTCGCTAATTTCACTACACTATCATGCTACACTGGTTACAGAAAATTAGGAATACAGCAATACAGGACTGTTGGCACAGTCACTCACTCAGTGACGGACAGACTCTTGTGTTTATAGGGCTGGCTTTGTATGCCAGGCCAAAAATGGGTAAAACAGAGCAACAGTTGAGGGTTTCCTCAGACAAGCAACAGAAGCCAGAGTGGACAGAAGCAGCAAGAGTAGAATTACGACACGGAGTACAAATAAAGTTAAGTTAAAGTCTTTCAGGCAAAGTGCAACGTCTTACTTGTTTCAGTAATAGTGACTGTAAAAGTTAATGTCCTTACGATATAACTGATGCTGGAGAGTGAGATCCAGAGTCGTTAAAATTCAAATTAAATTCACACATTCGACAGGCACTGACCCTGTATTTCCCTCTCTCGCTCTAAGTGCTAAAAAGACTCACTGTGTGTAACTTCTAACAGTTACAATACCACTTTCATATTCTTACAGTCTCTATCTGTTTAGCATTTCCAATTCCCGACATACCAGCTGACCACAGTCTAACTGACCACCCGCCATACGAGGACCACAAGCCCTCCCTGAGTTGTCCTCAGTTCCACCCAAAGAAACATTTCATTTAAACACAAGCCACAAAAACATTTGATTTCTAATTTATTTGTGCAAGTAATAACTGTAAGTGTGTGTGAGCATTTTTGCAGAAGGACAGAGGAAGAGATTGAGTTTAATGATGAGATTAGGAGTGTAATGCTGAGAGCGCTGCACACAGAGGCAATGAATGAAAGCCCTATTTCCATGGACAAGTTTGTGTGTTTGTGTGTGTGCAACTACAGGGGTCTGCTTGGCGTCAAGCCGGTGCCAAACTGGCTCACAACCTTGCGTCTGTGGAGAGATCCGTTAAGATATGATTACCGGCTCCCAAGGCCCCACAGCCAAGCCAGCTGAAGTGAAACCACACATGCAGCCTATCAGACGGAAGCCTTCCAAGTTTCCCTCTCGACGTTTTCCAAGGTCTCGCTTCATGGAAGAGCCAGCTTTGACGGGAAGAACAGGGAGCAAATAAACACAGCGGACAAGCGGAGGAAGGACGGCGTGAGAGAGGGCCTCATACTGGCTCAGTGGGAGTTTGACACCACTCTTTATCATCAAAGCTCGATACACCGGTGACCCGGCAGCTCTGGTGTTGTGGCAACACTGGGATCCAATGCCCTATAGGACAGTCGCTCTCTCGCTGCCAGCAGCACCGGCTCAGCCTAAACCCGTCTCACTTCAAAGCATCAGAGATCACAGACTCACGTTCAAAAACATGAAACGTGAAACTGAGAACAAGCTCAAAGAATCCCGCTCTCTCACCTTTCAAATGGTACCTTGGAGGTCTTTTTGCCATGGTGACACCTCACTTTAGCAGAGGGCATGCCTGTTAGACTGGTCTGTGATGGAAAGATCACAGGTTTGATTCTGGCAACCACAACTGCACTGATACCACGATTAGAAACAGAAACTGTATGTTCCTGCTCTAGCTATTTGAGTTTTAAATTTAGGGGGTGCTTGGGGTAGATTAACAAGCTTAAAACACCACATCTAATGTGTAAACACCCTATAAAGCTGTTATGGTGAAGGTGTTACCATCCCTGCTGGCACAGGACATCAAAATGGCGTCAGAAAGACTTCGGGTTGACAGTATTTTCAGTGCCTCACAGTGTTAGTTTACATCATGACGTTTTGCAGCCGTTGGGTTTAGTTTTTCACACCTGATTATACGTTAAGATGACGTTGGCATAAAACATTTGGAAGACATTGGATTTTGTTTACTTAACAACACAACTTAAAACTAACAAAATGTCAATGCAATCTGTCATCAGCATTCTACACCAATTGATGTTTGCATTAGACGTTGTCCTGACACTGAATTTTGGTCACCCAACGTCACAACCTAAATTCAACCAAATACAAATGTCAAAAAGTAGTCGGTGGCTGGCTGGGACACAGCAGATATCAAGCAAAATTAGCATTTATTTAGAGTTGTGTTTCAGAGCACCTGATCAATGCTGAAGAAACAGTATAACATTTTTAGCAAAAATCGTTCTCTCACAGAAAGTTAGATGACAAGTTTGATACCACTGTCACTTCGGTGAGTCTGGAGGCAACTTAGCTTAGCATAAAGACGGTACCAGGGAGAAAAAGTTAGCCTGGTTTTGTCAAAAATTAAAAAACATACCTACTCACACCCAAACACTGACCTAATCGATTAAAATTCACCTTTAAGCATCGTTTTGGTCTCCACCAACTCCTGACGGAAATATTTGTCTTTATCACTGCTAACTGCTCCACTTTCTTCGCTAGGTAGTTGCTAACTTTGTCTGTCTGTTGTTCGATGCCGGGCATGTAGCATACAGCTGGTTGATCAGAGTTTATTTACAGAAAACAGCTGTCCGTTACATTTGTAAATTAGAAGGGCACTTAGCATAGACCTAAAACAAGGCCAACAGTCCTGTCTTCTATGATCGTTAAATCTGCAAGTGTGATGTCTGGCTATATTTCCAAAACTATTAGAATTATGTCAAGCAAGTGCTCTATGAAGACTGCTTGCTATACAAAGTTCAAGCAACTACATGTATAGGCTATTTGTTCCTTGAGGCTACTCCAGGGGACTACTTAAACTTGACTACTATCTCGCAGTGTTAACAAAAGTGAAAAATAATCATGCATCCGCCCCGTGAGTTGGATACGGTTCTTCCACGGCCCATGCTACACCAGTCCACCAAGTTTGATGAAACTCGAGCCTGTAGTTTTTCCGTAATGTTGCTGACAAACAGGCAAACAAACCAAACTGGAACATAAACTCCTTAGTGGAGGTACTGTAAGAAGGCTGATGAGAGAGGATTATGCAGGCCACCAAAACAAAGCTAAAAGAGGCTCAAAAGGTCTGTCAAGCTGAGGGAACTGGTGACAATTACTTCACGAGGAGCGGCACCTTTCACATCACAGTTAGTCATTTGATCCATTGTGAAGTATAAAATAGTGCAGGTTTAAGTCCGTACATCACACATTGCAGTTTCCCCTTAAGTCCGTCCCTCTTCACTGAACAAGTTTGTTTTACACAGGAAAATAAAATGAAGTCAATTCCTGGTTACACAGTTCCTCAGAAGGCGACTAAGTGTTTTGTAATCCCGCGTCTGAAAAACAAGAATGAGGGGTGTCTGATGCGCTGAATCACCGCTCTCTCTAGTTTTAATTTCGATCCGCTGCCATGCCAAGAAAAGCAGGAAGGAATTGGAGCATCCAAAAACTGAAGTGGCATGAAACTGTATTTTCCTCAGACAAGTTTGGAACTGATTCACCGTGCGTGTGTGTGTGTCCATCCAAATGTTTGCACTCCCAAGCCTGACCCACTTTTTAACAATTACAAATCAGACAGGAGAAGAAATCTGGTGGGTGAAAACAAAACACACACACAAACCAACAGCCTTGGCCTTTGGATAAACATCACGCTGCTTTCAAGTCACCGTGCACAATGAACAAAGGGATATATTATATTACACACCGTGACATTAATAGGTAACTGACCATTTTCTGTGCCCTTTGACTAATCTATGATATATA